ATTCCAGGATCTCTTTCTGTCTTCCCAGGTCTTCTTTTGAGTCCAGTTTCACAGTCCCTTCTGGTTCTTGGTCTGTTCCTTCTTTTGTCTTGAAGGCCTTGCCTTTTTGACCCTTTGCCCTTTTGCCCTTTTGCCCTGTTGGCTGTCTTCAGGCTGGTTGTACCTGTTGGGCCATTTGGTACTTTTTCTGGCCTTGTTCCTCTGGGTGAACCAGTCTGTCGCCATACCCCTCTGCAAAAAAAGCCGGACAGGTCCTGTTCTTTTTCTAAGGTCTTGAAGGGTTGTGTGTCGGGAACAGTGTTTCCAGTTGCTTGTCTGATGCGTGTCATTGATTTCAGGTTTATCAAGTATCTTAGGTTCGCAATCCTGATTTCGAATTCAATTTCTCGCTCTCTCTCTAGCTGTTTTACGTATTGGGTAAGCCATTCTGTCGAGTTCTGATTCACTCCCATAGGGTCATGCTCTTTCGGTGCCTAGCACACCAAAGAAGAGTCTGCGCACCAAAGAAGCCCGCCACTCGCTTGTCCGATGCGTGTCAAAGAAGAATGGGACTTTCTGATCTCGATGGGTAATGACAAAAGACTGGTTGCCGGGATACGATATGTGGATGACGCCTCGATGTTTGTGGCATACGATATGTGAAAACCAGAGTCGAGGCGCAAGGCAGAGAGGATCTTGTATGTGTTCGAGGACTGTTACGATGAAGCTTTGACCTTGAAGAAAACAGATACGGGTGGGGATAGATGGGAGTTCTTGGGATGCAAACTGACGGTGCAGGAAGAGTTCCCGTACTTGGGATGCTGCCAAGCTGCGAAAAATGAGAAAGACCTGCTGGAGGGCTCAAGACTGAGCTTTCAAGTGTTTCAGGATTTCCAGTCCTGGACACCCAAGCAGGCGAGGCTGGCTATTTTTGTGGTTAGTGCACTGCATATAATTGAGCAAAATTCCATGACCAGCATGGAACTTGTTGGAGCTCCGCTCTTTCTCAGAATGGAACATTGGCGGCGAGAGTACCCTGAGTACTTCTTCAGGACAGGCATGCGCAACTTTGTGTGGGACAAAGGTGCTCTGTGGAAATTGGTTGCTGAATTGCTGACAAAGGACCATGCACTTAGTGAGAGGATGAGGACGATAAGATGCAGGATATGTTGGATGCTGATGTGTCGCTGTGTGACGAGTAGTATAGTATCTGGTGTGCGTGAGTATGGTGTGTGGTGTGTGTTGTGTTGCGTACCGATTGAAGAAGATATGTGCTGATGCGTTCAATGGATGCTAGGGGACCTGGGTCATAACCGGTGGGTTGGACCTGTGTGGAACCAGGCTTGTCCAGTATGGGATGGGTCCATCGGACTGAAAGGACATGGTGGGTGGACTGTCGTTTTGAGAAGGGACCCGGTACCGGCTCAGATGGGGTGGGTACCTCGCATAGTACAAGGGAGGCAAGGGCCCGTTAGGGATCAGAAATAGCAGTCCGTAGCAGATAGACGAACAGCTAGGGTCAGCAGCAGAAGTCCAGAGGATGATCTGACTGAGACGCCGTGATTAAAACCGGCGCATCGTCGGTTGGACTCCCGTTTGGTTCCCATCCCACAAAAGAAGAGTCTGCGCTTTTGACGGAGAAGAGAACAGGGGGTTCCTGGGTGTTGCGGTTTGAAGATGGCGCGCGATGGCGGGTTGTGTTTCATGCATTCCCTTTCCCATCTTGTTCATGTCCGTCGTGCACTTCATCCATATCGTTGTCACTTTGGTGCTCTTCATCCCCCTCCTCATCTGTTGTGTGGGTGGTGACTTCGTCCATTTGTTCCGTGGTATTTTCCTTGGTCCCCTTGTCTGTCTCCTTCGTCCTGTCTGGGTTTCTGGTTCCTGAGATGGGAGGTCTCTTTTTTTCTGCCTTTCTTTTTATCAGTTTCAGGCCTTCCTCCTGCTTTTGTGGTCCTTCAAGGTTCTGTTAGCGTGACGGTTCCTTCTTCTGTCCGGTCTTTGTTTGTCTGGTTGGTTCCTGTCTTTTCCTTTGCCTTGTTCTGTGTTTGAAGGACTCTTCCCCTGGCCTGCAGGTTTTGAAGGTAAGCCCTTTCTGCACTAGTGCCCACATGAATCAGTTCTTTCATTGAGTCCCTCCTTTGAAGCAGTGAAAGTATATCCTTCTCTCATATGTCTCACGCTACTTAATTCCCTATCTAAGTCCAGTTTCGAATCGTTGAGTGTTGCAGTTATGGGTTGACACCGACCTCCACCTGTGCGGCCATGCCTAAGCACCACTGCAAATTCCTAACACCTGGCACGAGCCAGAAGGCAGACACAGATGTGTCCTAACCGACCAGGAAGGGCAAGCCAACTGTCTCAGCTGGTGAGCCTGAAGCGTGCCACAGGGGGGGGGGGGGGGGGGGGGGGGGGGGGGGGGGGGGGGGGGGGGGAGGGATCGAATGAATGACGCGGGAATCCAACCCACGACCTTCTGAATGCCACTTACGTGCTCTACCAACTGAGCTATACAGCAGAATGTACCCTATAATGGCATCCATTCAGTGTTGCACCCCCCGATGGTCGGCGGCCCTTGACTGGTCGGCACCTACCAGTGGGGGGTCGTCGGCACCCCGCAAAAAAATAAAATAAAATAAATAAATAAATAAAATTGGGGTCCAGAACCCCTAATAACACCACCAACACCCCCATAGCGGCCCCCAA